GTTCCACCCTTATGATCTTATTTAGCCTTCATCACCCCCTTGCCAGCCCTATCTGCAAATACAGTCACATTGGGAGTTTGAGCTTCAACATAAGAATTGGGGAGTGGGGACAAACATGCAGTCCATAATACTCCCTAGGAAACCACTACTATACTTCCCATTTCTATAGATGACCTGTTCTGGACATTTCATATATATGGAGTCATATAGTGTGTGATCCTTCGTGCCTGGCTTCTTTCATTCAGCATAATGTTTTCAAGGTTCATCCACGTTGTAGCGTGGGTCAGTACTTCATTCCTTTTTATTGGGAATAATATTTCAATTTATGGATAGACCACACTTTACCCATTCATCAGTTGACAGACATTCGGGTTGTTTCTACTTTAGGATTATTATGAATAATACTTCTATGAATATTTATGTACACGATATTTGGGGGATATGCTTTTATTTCCCTTGGGTGTATTTATACCTGGGAGTAGAATTGCTGGACTGTTATCACTCTCTGGTCAACCATCTGAGGAACTGACAAACTATTTTCTAAAGCAGAACTTAATTTTTTAAAACTTCTTCAATGGGGTTCATCATTGGAAAGTATGGTGGTAGAAATAATGAAGTGTGTCTTGTCTGACCAACCAGATCACGTACTTCCTGGGTTTTGTGGAGGCTTACATTGTCCAAAACAAACTACGCTTCCTCCAGATTATCTTCATACAATTTCTGCAATAATCTCTGAAGAAATTCACAAAAAATATTTGAAGTACCGTAGAATGTGCAGTTACTTCATGCCACACCATTCCCTGAATGTTTATTGCTGCAATTAGAGAAACATTTCATTCTCTAACTGTTGGCACAGTCACACAAACTGGTTAACTTTCCATTGTACCTTCGTTTTTCAAAAATTAAGTTCTGTGCAAGAAATATTTTGGCAGATCCATCAACCCATGAACATTTACTAGATGCTATTAATCATTCTTTTGCAATTTGATTTGCAAAAGGGTGGATTTGGAGTGCAAAACCTGTATACAATGGAATACTACTGTGCTATAAGATGAAATAGTGCCATTTGTGACAATATGGATAGATCTTGAGATTCATCATGTTAAGTGAAATAAGTCAGCAGAAAAAGTCAAGAACTATATGACTTCACTCATATGTGGAATATAAAACTGAAAGCAACACGCAAACAAGACAAAAAAACAAATACTCATAGACATAGACAATAGTTTAGTGGTTACCAGAGGGTAAGGGGGAGTGGGGATTGTAGAAGAGGGTAAAGGGGTGGAGTACATGGTGATAGAAGAACTGACTCTGGGTGGTGAACACACAATGTGATATATAGATGATGTATTACAGAAATGTACACTTGAAATAAAATATATAATTTTACTCACCAATGTCACCCCAATAAGTTTAATGAAAAAAAGTTTTATTAGAACCGGGGCCATGATTAGGGTGAGGTGAGTGTAGGAGAGTCGTGAAAACTCGGAGTTGAATGCTGTTTTTATTTTTAAATTTGACATTTTGTTCTCAATGGATTTTTCACATTTTTACTTTTTTGAAATACTGCATTAATAGTCGTTTATCTTGCTTATTAAATTTTGGGGCGCCCCCTTAAATTCTGTGCCAGAGGCACCTCACTCGCCTCACCCTAATCCCAGCCCTGCCACTCGGTGTCCTTCCTTGACCTCGCCATCTTAAATAACCTCTAGCGCTTTCTAGCCTCGCCCAACTCCCCACGCTCCAGCCGCTAGGGGGCGCGGTCGTCCCGCCCGGGGCACCTCACGTCCTCTGTCCCAACTCCCAGAGGAGGCGCGCGCCGGGAGTGGAGGCGAGGAGCGTGCTCATGGGCGGGGTCGCGGTGCTGCGGGGGCCTCACGGAAGGGACCTGAATGGCGATTCCCACGGGGCTGTTTGTGGTGGACTCATTGCTTTGGCCTTTTCGTCACCGCACAGGTGGGAGCAGAGTTTGGGGAAGTGAGAAGTCAGCAGGACGAGCCGGGAATGGAGCGCCCCCTGGCTGAAGCTGGGTGAGGATGCTGGGGACCGTCGGCATCCCAGTCTGGGGCTTCGGGGGCCATATCCTCCAGCCCCCAGGCCCCTTGCGGAGGACTCCATGTCCCAGCAAGCGCAGGAGAGTCTGCCGGCACCGGAGCCTGAACTTTCCATTTCTCAGAGCAGAGCTCCTAGCTGCGGGGAAGCGGCGTCTTAGCTGCAAAATTCCCTGGGGTGGGGGTGGGCCCTCCCGGGGTTGGGGCCTCTGCAACGTCCCATGGCCTTACAGGAGCTAGAGGTCCGGCTATCTCCCGAGCGTGGGAGTAACTGGTCCCCACCTGGCTGCACCTCCAGGTGTCACGCAGGAGATATGCGGGCTCAGGATCTCACTGGGTCAAAGCTAAAGGGTTGCAGCCTTACCTGGAGCAGCATTTCTGAACACACGCCTTTGCCAAGCCCCTTTCATAGGGCACTCCATGAACCCTGGCAAGTTATCGGGTTGAAGGGTGGGACAGGCATGCCTATTACTGCCCCTTTCAGCTTTCCCTTGAGAAAGGAATCTGTGTTTCAGTTTCTCTGACTTAATCAGTGCTAACCAATGGTCCTTGGCTCCAATATCAATACCAACAGGAATCCCGATTTGGGGTGCAGTGGAAAAAGATACTTGTTCAGTGCAAACAGCTCAATTGTGTGAGACAGCCAATAGTATCACAGCTCAATTGTGAAACTGCAGCGTTATGAGGCCACCCTATTCTTCAGTGGTCCCCAACTGCAACCAGGAGCCATCAGTGGAAAGAGAAAGGACATTTTCTGAGTCACAAGGGGTGTTGGCTTATATAGACAAGTCTCCACCCCGGTGGTCCCCGATTGGTCTGTCCTCATTGAAATAAGAACTCCATATCCTTGCAGTTTGGTCCAAAAGGCACTGTTCTGATTGGTCAGATAGAGCTGCACAGCTCCTATTGGACAAGGAAAGCCTCATTCCTATTGGTTGAAATACAATTCCAGGAACTCTTTTGTAAGGATGTTTTGCTGGCTCAGATGGCAGGAATACAGTGCTGGCCTCTGAAGTTCAGTTTACGTGAGAGGCCTGTGTTTAGAAATGGCTGCTAGACTCTGTTTTTTAATTTGAGCCAGATAGCCACCAGAAGCATGGGGCTCCCGCAACTCCACGTCCAGTTGAAGCACTTCTGTGTCTCAATAGTCCAAGAAAAAAGTCCCCAATTTGAGACTCACGGACCTGTGCCCCTCCCAAACCCGTGGCTCTGGCCAGAACAGAATGATTGGCTAGGCCTGGATCATGTGAGCTAGAGGAGGGCGTCAACCCCACCTGAACTGTGAACTGAAAAGAAGAGGAGGTTAGGTGACTTCACAAAGAAAATAGGGTGAGAAGAAGGCGTGACTATGCTGCGCATATGAGACAAAACAGTATATGCCCACCGTTATAAGCTTCTATCCCTTCCAAGGGCAGAGAGACCTAATAGCCTCCTTTTAGACCCTCTCATCCTATTGTTATCAGGCCACTGGTAGGATGGATCCGGATTCTGTCTTAGCTCCATCTCTCTTTACCATTCTTGTTCTGTGTCATCATTCAGTCATCTTTCTGGGACAATTCCAATTTCAAATGTTCTGTCCTAGAGCCCCCATAAACGAAATTTATATTTAGTAGATCACACGTTGGATTTCTCTGTGCTTTGGAAAATATGGTCATGGTACGTAGCATCCCAGGAAAGAGGCCCAAGAGAAACTGCCATCTCTCCACACCCTTTACCACCAATATGAATGTCTGAAAGCGGGGCTGGGATGCTGCCCACTGGGGCTTACTTAACACCTGGTAAGTGTGTTCTTCTCTCTGCCCAAAGCAAAGAAAAACCTAAACCTCCAGAAATTGGAAGCTTTGGCGGCAGCCCAATTAATTAATTGTGTGAGAGAGAACTCACGGATTGATGAGGTAGAAAGACTGTGGAAGCCATCTTTGCAATGCCACTACACAGAGGTGGTTCAGACAAAATCACCATCAGCCTCGGACAGCGATAAGCCGCTGGGTACGCAGGGGCACCCCAGGAGGGGGGCAGCAGCCCTCGGGGCAGTCACCAAGTACCAGCAAGAAAACCTCTCAGTGGGTACTTCCAGGCTGAGACAAAGGGATGGAATACCCTGGAATTGTTTAGCAGTGACCAACAAAACTGAGTGCACAGAGGGGAGCCTAGAACCGTCTCAGGTAAAAAACCCTCTTTCTGTTTTCTCCAAGAGCCATATCATAAGTAGGGAGGGGGTTTGTGGGGATTGTGTGTGGAGGGCAATGCCAAGTAACTTTAACTGAAATTAGGCCCCATCTTCTCCGCAGCAATTCCAAAGTCCAACTGGGAAAAAGCAACTGTAGGAAGAATTCCAAAATAGCTCAGTGAGAGCTCAGGAAGGAGTTAGACACTCTATAACAACTGCCTGTGACACAAGGTTACTAAAAATAAAAGCGAAAGAAAGTTAAGCAAAAGCTACATTCAGTTTAAACTTACTTTGAAATGTACCTTCCTTATTTTTCTTCTATATGTTTAGATTAGGTGCATAACATTCGTTTTTCTTTTGTGTATTCTTATCAGGTACATCAGCTCTTCATCAAAGCTGGAGGCATCTTGTTGGGCTGTACGGTTAACCAGATACATGGTTTAAGCATTCCTTCAATACATATTTTTAGAATACCCTCTGCACGCCAGGCTCCGTGCTGGTTCTGAGGGCAGAGCAGACAACAAGGCTGGCGTCAGCTCTGCCCTCTCCTGCAGCTTTCTAGTGACCTGCTTAGGTGCAGTTTCATTCAGGCCTGCCTGGGCTTTCTTCTTTTTCTTCTAAGTAGTCCGATTTTTCAGATTGAAATATACTTAGCAGTAGACACCTGTCCAATTTGTGGCTGCCCAACATCTTTTGAATACTCCTCCTATTATTTGGGGATTTTCTCTAAGTTACAATTCCTGTCCTCTTGAGGCAGAAGCCAGAATTCAATTACCCAGCCTTTCTTGAAACTAGAGCACAGGCAATGACCTTGGTGTTGCTAGTTAGGGTGCATAGGATTCTCTGGTTCACAAGACAGCAAATCGAGGATGTAAGCTTCGTGGAGAATCCATTTTCAAGAGAGGGTGAGAGTGAAAGAATCTGGCTTTCCAGGGTAGCACTGATGGAAGGTTTTGGAATCCAGTGTCCAGAAGTGTGAACAGGGGTGGTGTCTCAATGCCCACCCCATATGCCCCAACAGAGTGCTCTCCGGCCAGACCACAGATACTATGCGCTACCTAAGCCTCTCAATTGCTTATCTTCTAAACACTAGTTAAGAGTGAGCTCTATTCTTTGCAAAGAACTGTGACTAACACATATACTGAGGTCCTGTTATGTGCCAGATTCTAAGTGGGCATACCCCTGTTACTTTATTTAAACTTCATGAACATCATTTAAAACACAAATTATTATAGATTTCACAGATTAGAAAAAACTGAGATTCGAAAGGACAATTCATTCTACAAATATTTATTAAAAGCCTACTGTGTGCCAGCCACGGGAATACAGCACTGAACAAAACAGCTCCCTGCAACTATAAAAAGAATGGCGCACTGCATTTTAAATGAGAGGCATGGACCCCAGCTGTCTGCAGAGAAGGACTTCATGCCAGGCAGGCTTCATTTTAAATATAGAAAACCCCTAAAAATAGCCACCCGTGTTATGGACTCAACAGGTGATTGGCCCAAAAAGAGGGGAGGGGAAGCTAGGTCTCGGTAAAGGGGAGTGAGAGGACAGTGGTGTCTGTCCGAGCTTCTCTCGCCATGATGGCTGTGCCTCTGAGGTCCCTGAGTCGGGGCTTGGCGAGCGCAGCCAAGGGAGACCACGGAGGAGCAGGAGGTGAGTGGGGCCGACCCTGGGCCTGTGGCTTCCTGACCTTGTCCCCTGTATCCCCTGCCACCTCTAAGGCTTCCCAGGGTCCTGGCGACACCCCCTCACCCTGCGTAGCTGCCCCCCCCCTTCCCTCACCCCTGCCTGTCCCCACTGCAGCTGGCACCTGGCGCCTCCTGACCTTCGTGCTGGCGCTCCCGAGCGTGGCCCTCTGCACCCTCAACTCCTGGCTGCACGCGGGCCACCATGAGCGCCCCCAATTCATCCCTTACCACCATCTCCGCATCCGCACGAAGGTACGCAGGCCCGAAGCCTTGGCGCTGGGGCGGGAGCAGGCGGGGATCTGGGGGTGCAGGGGGACCCCCAGGCTGACACCTCGCTCTCCCTCTCTCCACAGCCCTACTCTTGGGGGGACGGCAACCACACTCTCTTCCACAATCCCCACGTCAACCCTCTGCCCACCGGCTACGAACGGCCCTGAGGCCCCTTAAAGGTGCGGAAGCCGCTCGTCCGCAGGAGCCTTGAGGACCGCGGGGTGGGCGGTGCGCTCCCCGTGGCGCATGCGCACAATGCGGTCTGCGCTCCTGCTCTCCCCAAGGCCTGATTCGGGAGGGACTGGGGGGTGCGCATCCTTGATGAACACGTTGGGGATCCCCTCTCCTCCTTGTTCACCTAATAAACAGGGCTCTGGGCTCTAAACGGCTTTCACAATGACTCGGTGAATTCCGAAAATCTGGAAACAACCCTTATTTCAAACACAGGATCTACAGCCCTCTGTGTGAGGTTTCGTGACCTAATGCTGAATGTGGAATATGTTAAAGGTCATTCTCCATGACCACCCTTATGAGTCTAGTTGGGGAAATCAGATGTTCTTTTCTGGAAGCCTGGCTCTCCAGGCTTCTTGGGACCCCGTTCAAGGGGGGCATTGGTTCAAACTAGCTCTGGGCATTTCATTCACCTTCTAACACAGTCTGCTCACCTGCCATTCCCACTGAATCTGAAGCCTGGGCCGAAACCCATGAGCAACACACATCGAAAACTTCTTCTGGCCTCCTCCCCTGACACCACTAAGAAGTGATGGTCTCAGGCCCCCGTTACCCAAGAGAGAGAGACCGCTCTCTAAACGCACATGCAGGTTCACTCATCCCTTCTGACAATAGCAATCAGGTCTCTGAATTAGAGCTTTTTCATACAAGGAAAATGTTACAAACATCCTCATTTAATGTGACAATTCCCATACACAGGAAAATGCATGCTAGCATCATGCCTGCTTCTGTAAGAGGTGGATTGTCACTGAAGACGTCTGACAGATATGTCACAACATAAAAGTCTCTCAAGGTCCTGGGAAGGTAGCATAGATCTGGTAACTTGCTTAGTTCAGTCCAGATCGATGCGGAAGTTCTTCCCACAGAAGAGATCTCTAGGCTAAGCAACACCAACCAGGGGGCTAGAGATGAGCAGGAAGTGGGTTATTAGGATGAAGGCAGATGTGGGGCCTCGTGGCTGAAATCCTTCTCATTGAGTGTGGCAATGTCTTCAGGCTTGTTGTTCAGCATTTGTTTGTACTGACGTTTGAAGAAGCCAAGCTATGAGGGGAAGTAAACCAGGAGAATTGGGTAAGAAGGCAGAGAAGAAAGTTGAGAGTAAGGAAGAAGCTGACAGAGCAGAAGGGAACTAAATGGACTTGTCTTTGTGTGCCAGGACACTTATGTGAACGACAGCTGTCACGTGTTCCCAGGACAGTGGTTCAACACATGATCTAGGGCATAAAGGCACAGATTCTGTGGTCTGCAGACCTGCCCACATACCCTGCCCTCCTTTCTGCCTTTCTTTACCACTCTGTGATGGAGGCATTATTATTATTATTTCAAAACTGAGGAACAGGCTCAGAGAGGTCAAGCAAACTGCCTGACATTAAACAGTAAGACAGAGGCACAGTTTCCACACAGGCCTCCCTGACTATATTGTATGGGTCTTCCTGCTACACCATCCTGTCTGTAGGAGGGCTTTGGTGGGATGCTGGTGGTGTCAAGTGTGTGAAGAGAACACGCACCTTGTACAGGGTGGCTGTGATGAGAGCCAGCAGCAGCAGGCCCCCCACAGAGCTGCCCACGATGAGGGGTACCGGGTTGTGGACCTCGTACTCCTCCAGCACTGTCTCCACCTGCAGTGGCGGTGACCCCCATCATGAAGGGTCAGGCCTCTGGCTGCCCCAGACTCTCCCAGGCTCCCCGACCTTTAACAACCCTCCTCCTTCTCCAGGCCAGACTCCAAGGGGTGAGGTGCAGATACACTTAGGCCCCTGTCCCACCCAGGGACCTCCGTCCTCCCTCCTTCCAGGATGTGAGCCCCCACCCACCCAACTCACAGATTTAGCCTCAGAAGCCCCCTTAGCAGCCTGGCCACTGCCCACCACACAGTCACTACCTGGGCTCTCAGAAACGCCTCCTGTCCTGGGAGCTGGGAATACACAGATCTGTTGAACGTGATTTCAGCCACACTCACGACCAAGACCTTCTTCTGCAATGTCTGCAAAAGGGGGCAGGATGGCTGGAAAACTAGCTCTGGGGGAGGCTCAGGGCAGAGATGTGTCCTAGCTTGAGGATGGATGGGCCCAGACCCACCAGGCACCACCTGAGTGTGAGGGGCGGGACTCTGCTGCTGGGCCTACACACCTGGCTGATCCAGCCGAAGCTGAGGTTGCCCTTCAGGATAAAGTCAAGTTCCTCCTGGATGCCGAAGGAGGGAACGTCACAGCGGAACCGCAGGCAGTCAGCCATGGAACAGTTCTAGGGACAGGGGAGGGTGGGTGTGAAGGCAGAGACAGCATTGAACGGTCTGTTTTGAGGGAGCAGCCACCTCTGAATTCAGGAAGGCTGTTCAGCAGACATCCGTCTAAACAGAGTGTGATTCCCGAATCGAATTCCTCTGCTGTGTGGCTTAACGTGGGGACAGCCTAGGGTCCTCACCAGCACAGGGTTCTCTTGAATGTGAGCGAGAAAGTTGGACTTTGTGGGTGCTATTCTCTCTGAAGAGCACTGAATAGACAGGTTCTAGGGAAAGACACAGAAAGCAAGCATCTCAGTGGGGACATCAGGGTTCCTGAGGGACTCAGGGACTACAGGAGGAAAGGCCTTCGTGGAGGAGTACCTGGGGGTGGGAGACCTCTACATCTGTCCACACAGACACCTGGTTCAGCTCCACAGGAACCAGGAAGTTGATGCTGATGGGCAGGTCCCTGGCACCCAAGTTGTTGACCTGCATGGAGGGCAGTAAGGCAGGACCACACCAAAGCCGCATCCCCCCCACCTCTGGCTCCTGGGCCCCTGCCCCAGCCCATGCTCCTTCATTGCCCCCACTTGCCTGGTATCTGTGCTGGACCATGCTGCTTTCTTTCTCCCCTGAGGCCGAGAAGTTGAGATACCTGGTGGACTCTTCATGGCTGGGGAGAGAAGAGGCATGGGTGGGTTTGAAGTTCCACAGAGGCCTCCTGAGGAGGCTCTGGCTGGAAGCATAATAGGACGGGTGGTCAGTGAGGTCTTGGGGGCCCTGGAATGACGTCTGTGGCTGACTTGGAGCAATGGGAAGACTTAGGGAGTAGGGCTAGGCTTTGAGCTGAGTGCAAGGGGCCTGCAGAAGCTGCCTACACAGGAAACTGCCAAGGTGGGGCTAGGCTGGTGGTGCAGTGAGAGGGACTGAGAGCTATGCCCTGACTCACTGGGTGAGGGGAGGCCATGGCCTTCCCCTCTCTGTGGCTCAGTTTTCCTCTCAGGCCTTCGTGGGCACAGAGGAGGCTGGATGGGCATGGGGACACAGCAAGGGTTTGGGGAGATTCACAAGGTTTGGGGTTGACACTGGCCATTCCCTGGGGCCCTTCTTTCCTGTTTCCTTGGCTTTTCTGGGCCTGCGGCTTGGAGGTGGGGGAGAGCCCACAGCAGACTATTCATTGCACCTTGGTGTAACAATGCCTCCTCAGGCCCATGCCTGAGACCCACTGGCCGACCTGACCCCTCACAGGGGTGGCTGGTCTCACCTCTGCCCCTCCGTGCTCTATTCCTTGGGTACCTCTCCTCTGCCTGCACAGTCCAAATCCTAGACCAGCATTCCCACTCTGAAGTCTCATCCCTCCTCTGCCGAGGGGCTCCCCACAAATGCCCCAGTCTCATCCTGGGACCCCCCCTCCCCTGAGTGCCCCTACCCATGGAGTCGCATCTGCAGAGGACAGCTGAACTGTAGGGCCACACATGCTCAGATATGGCCTGCCCTTCCTGTGAGCACCCTGCAGGGAGGCGTGCTAACCCCTGTGCACACTGAACAAGCAAGCTCAGACCGTGCCCAGTGTGCAGGTAAGACTGCGCGTGGGAGCCTCTGGGCGGGAGGAAGACTTCTGCGGAGACACCTGGGTGGAAGCAGCCGGGGAATACACCCAGGCTAAGCCAATGGGCCTGCTCGTATCACAAGCGCCCCACAAGGCCAGGGGTTTAGTCTGGTTTTGATTACACATAACAGAGGCTCAATACATCCTTGTCAAATGTCACATGAATTCATGGAAAGCAACCACATCGCTGTGCCTGAAGCATAGAAAATGCCAGGAAGATGTCTGCTTAGACGCTGGGCTTTGACCCCTTAGTTTCAAGCCCCTTGTCTGCCCCTCCTTGGGCACCATGTCACGGCCTCTTCCTTTCACCCAGCTTTTCCCTGACAGCAGCCTCTGTAGCAGGCAGCTCATTTCTCCCTCTATCCTTATTCCAAAGGGGGCTGGGACAGGAAGAGGGGAGTTCTAAGAGCCCTGCAAGTTGTAAATCGGTTCCTTGCAATAAAGAACTGTCCCGCTCCAATGCCAAAGGCCCAGTCCAATGCCAGGGACCCTGGGAGTTTAGCTGAGGCCTCCTCTGACAGGAGACCCTATCCCACTCTTAGAAATTCACATCACTCATGGTGCAGAACCACAGAGAGGCCTTGGATGAGATTCTGCTTTGGCTCAGGGTAACCTTGCTCCCCAAAAGGCTGTAGGAACCTTGAAGACAGAGACATGTCTCCTATCTGTTAGGAAATTCAGGACAGTCTTGGGGCTTCTGAGAACTGGAACCTCATTAAATGTAGGATGGAAGATGAAATCACTCTTCTTATTGTCATAGCTAGTTCACAGTAAACACCCAGGGATTGATTAGAAAGTGCTGCTGGCAGCATCATCTACTGACTGAAAGGGTGGTGAGAAGACCTAACTATCCCAGGTGCTCAGTGGCTCCAGGACTGAGAGCCCCCCTGAGCCCCATCAGTGATGGAGAAGCACCCTCTCCAGGTTGTGCTGTGGCACCTGCTGATCACCGAGTAGACAGCATACTTCACGGGGACCTCCAGCTGGGAGGTTCTCTTGCTGGTCCTGGGGGAATTATTCTCACTGCAGAAGGAAGAGGAGCCCAGTTGGAGAGTGCCCCAGAAGAGCAGGCTGGGCGGGAAGGAGTGCTGCCCATGTCTGGCCCCACTCACCTACTCACATTGGCCGTCAGAAGTAGCCGGTCTCCTAGCTGGGCCTTGGGGGAGACGTCGAAGGTGGCCGTGAAGGTCATCTGAGGAAGAGGCAGGTAGGCAGGTATGGGGGTGGGACGGGGCGGTCACCGAGGAGTGAGGGGGAAGGGCAGTGGAGTAGGAGCAGGCAGAGCGAGGCTGACCTGGGCCCCCTCGCGGAAGATGAGGTGTTTGATGCTGCAGCGGGCGCTGCCGATCCCCGGGCTCCCCGCTGGGGCGCTCTCACAGGTCAGGGGCAGGGAGCGCGCCTGCGGCCGGCTCTAGGGGAGGGCCGGTGAACACAGGCCCGGGAGCATTCGTTAGTGTTCCAGACAGACCCCATGAAGCAGTGACAGTTTCCCGGACTCTGCCTTAAGTTTCTGGTCTTAAAAAATCCTTACAACACTATCTGGTCACCCTTACCTTCCTATGTAGAAATCCCAGATATATTCGTTTCCCCTGCTTCATGTATTGCTATTTTTAAAAAGACTTTTTATTATAGATATTTTAAAACACATTCAAAAGTAAAAACTCTAAATACATCAAACCCACGAGTACCCATCATTTACCAACATTTTTCTACTTTTGTTTTTTTTTTTTAGCTGC